TGGAGATGGGCCCAGAATTCAAGCGTCCTTTTTCGCCAGTGTGTTAATAACTGTTGTTAAGAATTTTTACAAATCTCCATTAACTAAGATTAATACATTGACTAAAATAAAAACAAAGGATATCTCCTGCCGACCACGATAACCGGGAACGCCCGTGAATGCAAGCATCATTTCCAAATATATCACGATGTCTGGATCAGTCAAGCGTTGGCAACGTAGTTAGGGGAAAGTTTTGCCAAACTCCGTCATGAGACGACTTATCGTATCTTCACCAGATTCTACAGAAGATAGAAAGTATCAGTTAATAAGCCATGTTGTTGCGACGATAAGTATAAAACGTAGAATGTTATATCTTCTCTACCGCTAAAGGGCTTTTGCAATTCTTGATCTTGCTCATTCACTAATAAAACATCTCGTCATCATCTTGACTTAAGTTACTGACGACTGTAAGGACTGAATAATACTTCTGTTGCTGATGTATGTGTTTCTCACATGAAAATGATCCGATAACATTATTAATCAAAGGCAGGAGAGATCTAAAAATTAAATACGACGTTTTGTCAACAAAGTAAAATCCAATAATAAATCTTGCAGCCCGGAATTTTCGGAAAACTTACTCAAATGGCACATCGTACGTTAACCAGCTTTCCAAACACAGAAGGCTCTTCTGCCTTAACAGAATACTTCGTTGCGATTGATGGTTTTGAACGAGAAAAGGACTGTAACGTCGACATTACCAACGGAACCGCATCTGTAATTTCCTTTGAACGATTGTCCTGAATCAACAAGCCACGTAAATATAAATCCATACACTTACCCACCCCATTAGCCGACATTTCATTATAGTTACCCCTGATTATCAATGAAACGGCAGTCGAAACTTTCTTCGGCAATACAGTCAAATATTCCAACAACAGTAGCTAGATCTTGTCTCCTGAGTGCTGATTGGAGGTACTGAAACAGCTCCGCTATACAATTCGTCCAAACGTTGAATATGGGTTGTGTATGTCGCAAGCTAGGAGAAACAGAGTATTAAATGAGAATTCACAAAGACATAAGTTACGTGGACCGATAGAAAGAATGTGTGTTACCGCGATCGATAGCTCTGTTATGACAGTTGATGGGCCGTTGGAGAAGTAGCTCGCCACTCGCGGTTTTCGTTTTTACAAAACTATTGTATTGCCTACATCATGCATAAATTATATAGTAAATGGGATAAATGTATATCCCAAGTGCAGTCCCGTGGATAACTTACTTGTTAGTAGGAACTTGATCAACATCCATATTTTGATTAACGTACGCATTAGCGCGTCAAAACGATGATGATTTTAACCATCACAGCAGTTACCATATATGTCATGAACATGGTAACGGGTAAGTATGATGAATCACGTAACACTTATCCAATAAAATAGTAGCTTTCCCGGTAAGGAATTAGTTTCTCTTCTTCGTGCCTGCGTATCGCGCAACATACTGATTGACGAATTCGAGAGTAAGTTTTTTGTAATCCGCTTCACGTATTATTTTTTTGCATATCGTTTGGCTACATTCCTAATAATGTTCAATAAAATTTAATTCACAGTGAAAAACATACGAACGTTGGTCTGAGTTCCAACTAATGCCGAACTTTGAATCAAAAAATCTAGTCGTAAAGATATAAATGTTCTTTATATCGAGAAACTTTCTCTAATTTATCAACCGTAACTTTTATTCTTTTTCCCAAGTTTTGAAATAAATTTCACGCGCGCTTATTTTACGTAAAATAATTACAAACCTATTACTAGGACTAGGTGTAACGAATGTTAATCGGTGTGACAGCAAATAAATAAATCACGTTATTCACGGATTATTATTATTAGCTTTCCCATGACCAAGAAAATGTAAACTTTCCTTCCTCAATATAAATACATTTAAATCGATTAAACGACCCCATCGGATTCACCGTAATGGCTGGCACCATGACAATCCGTTCATTTATCAATAATTACCTTAGCGAGGCTGAATGCCAACAGCTCACAAATCCACCGCTCCCGTTGTCAATGCCGGTCGACCAGTTGTTAAATTTACCTGCAACAAGCAGCACTTGAATAGTAGTACTACTTGAATAGAGCAGTAATACCCTCTACACTATTTACACAGGAATTTACAGACTTTTCAGTAGTTGGGTTATATCGGATTTGCTTTGTTTAGCACTATTTATTTTATTTTATTTTTTTGAAATACGTCGAATAACGTCACTCGAAGAAATTATATGATGACGAGATACGAAAAGAAGATGGTGTTTGGAAAACTATCAGGAGAGTGAATATATTCCCCGAAAGGGTACGAGGGGGAAGCATCGAAATTGGAGCATCAGAAATGTGGGCGTCGGGAGAGCGTTGAATGAAGTTAGGGGATCAATGGGCAAAGAAGTTAGAAAAAGGGTGATTGAAGCCGCAGAAGCCGTTGGGGAAATAGAAAGAATGAGAGGAGCGAATTGTCAGGTAAGAATTGTTGAGCAATCAGGGTTTAACGTTTCGAGTCCCTTCGGACAATTTATTTACGCTTCTTATTACACTTTGAATGCTATGGTTTTTGAAATTTTAACATTCTCAAGTTCAGCACTAGTTTATCTTTCTTTAAGAAATTCAGATTTTCCCGGTTTATTTAATATCTCATCGCATTGGTTTCCATTGATTCGTTTCCACAACTTGAAACCTTCTTGCGTATTAACGACTCGTCATTTTCAATTGTATAGTTGCAGACGAAGATCAACAATCGATCTATCACAATTTTCTATCACTCTCGTTTTGCACCATTGCCCAAACTCCAGCATCAGCAAATTCGCCTCGGAACGCCGTCCCTATCATCGTCGTCTTATTCAACATTATTCCAATCTTCTTCATCATCTGTATCACCAGTCAATATGATATAATCTCGGTATACCTATCAGTATTTGTTGGAATGTTGAAGATGATGTGGTGGAATCCAAACTAGCTGAAATATCTTCCAGCATAATACAGCTTGCAGTGTCCGCTACAACTTCACGGCTGGCTATTCTCTTCTTCGAGATGAGAATTCTGGAAGTTAGGTTTACCAAGCTGGGCGGAAAAGACAACGAAAAATTTAAAGCTCATATAGATACGCTTGAGGGGGAAAGAAAATGCAAAACAATATGTGAATTGGATGTTGGAGAATTTAGAAAGCGGGCTATTGAAGCGGTTAGAAAAGCAATAAACACGACACGTCACTGCAAGATGCCTTTAAAGAAAAAGAAGGTCACCACGTTTGAGAGAAAGATGACTTAGAAGGCATAAATTCTGTTAGTGAAGGGGAATGCGATAACGGCTGCAACGTCAACGATACCAAAGAGGCGAATGACTATTCCGCCCGTCACAAACAACCTTCGAGTAGATAGGACGTTACCTGCAATTCCAAAGACAATACTTCGAGTCACATCACAGAGTAAACTATAGTGCGAGTTAATAAATTCAATTATCGAAGATACTGCCGGAGTTGGAGTTTTATCCAAAAAATCAAAAAGCTGCTTCACAGCAGGCCCACCAAAATTATTACTGTCTGCATCTCCACCATCCATGCGACAGTACTCTCCACTTCGCCTATGTCTCTGAACATATTTCTCAGTCGCCCGGAGCAGACAGATGATAAGGAATATGATGACGATAATGAGACTTCCGTTATCTATACACTTGCTATAGCAAACGAGAGTATGAGCAAAGGAGGACAGCAATTGATGAGAGACACGTGTTGATGATTCAGCATTCGAGGATGCGGAAACTATTTTCGTAGCAGAGCCGGAAGAGCTGATGATGTAATGGATCGGACATAAGGTCTCGTCGAGAAAGTTTTGTGTAAATTGTAATGAAGATAAAGATATTTATGGAATAGGTTCGGTTCAAGTGAGTTTGTTATTAACTATATGCAACGCGCATAATATATTCGACAATTAGTTTAATAGATCAATTTGATGTTTCAGGAAAGAAGTTCAAGAAGGGCTACAACGAAGTCGAACAATTGCAAAGGGAACTGAATAAGAAGTTAACAAAGGTGAACAAGAAGAAACTCGAGTAAAAAAGTAACAGTCGACAAAATAGGCGAATCCAGTCACGAGAGAACAAAAGAAAGTTGATACTTATCAGCAAACAATGTCCAATGGACGGCAAAGCAGTTGAAGGAATTCAATGACACTCACAATGACAGGTTAAAGGAAGTCGTTAACGGACAACCGAAGAAGAGATGCATATCCTGGCGGCAAATTGAAAGCTCTAAAAAGGGACAGGTCAATGATAACGTCACAAATGAAACCATAAGTTGGACGAAACTGTAATGAAGAGAAATCGAGTGACACCGTTATCAAAGGAAGCCATTGAAGATAAGTCAGACGAGGCCTTTGAGAATAAACAGTCAAGCGAGGCTGTTAATAATGATAAGTCGAACCCAGTCACAAACGATTGACGACAATGAGTTGATTGAAACTATTAATAACTTTCTCAGAAACACCGTCAAATTAGAGACAAAGCCAGCGAGACCCAGCCGGAGAATGTCCGAATCCGAACAGCTCGCGGAACCCACCGATCCCATTATATCTACCCATCAGAGAATTGCTAAACCGATATACATAATGCTATTCATCAGGTTCATTTCCTGCAACAGTATTTGTGCAAGTGGCGCAATGACAGTAACCATAAACGGTATTTGGCAGGCTTTAAGATTGAGTTCACCGCCATGATTTCTCTGTTGTCCATAAAGACAGTGACTTGCTCACGTCCACATCTTTCAGTAGGAGTGATATTACCAATAGTATGAAAGCAAATTTAGGTTAATAATGACATTAACAATATGTGCTTCTTTCTAAATCAAATAACAAATATAACCAATGAAGCGTTTTATCATAACCACGAGCTCAAAACTGTATGTGACTTTTAGATTGCTATTTTCGTTATTCCAGCCCCGTATGAGTTTCAGCTACCCGTAATGTTGAGATTGAAACTGCCAAGTTGATCTCAAACTGACGCGTAACTTACGTCTGAAACAAGCTATATAACGACTGTAGAGTCTATTGATGAACAGCATGCACTCGCGATTAGTTAGCGATGTTGATCAATACGACAAACGTATCTCCAAATAGATCACAACATTCTTTGAACTGATTGCATTTAAAGAAATTGTATTTTTATTTAATAAACAAAGATTATTGTGTGATTACGTCACACTATAACAACAACCTCATCCATTCTTAGTCCTTAATAAAATTTATTGTATAAAGGCAGAGTAGCTCAGTTGGTTAGAGTCCTTGGTCTTCCTTTTTCTTGGAAATGTCTTCGTGTGTTGGCAAACGGTTGCGGTGCGCCGAAACCTTTTCGTTTGTCCGAGCCCCGACACGGAATGTAGTTGCAAAGGGGAGCGTATGTACATAATGGGGGTCCAAAGATATAATTTAGTTTTTAAAAGATGTTTTTCGTGTGAATGGCGTGTGGCGGAGCCGCGCGGGTGATTTGACTTTTCGATAGAAACCGAAAGCCCGCACAAGATGAATTCGGTAGTGGTGAATTCATCCATGTTTAAATAATCGTATTTTTGGTTTTTTTTTTTATTAAAAATGATAAAAATTTCTTCAACTTTGACATCTCGTGCGAATCGTCACCACAGAGGCATCGAGAGTCGAGGAATCGCTTTGATCGCGTTGTTTTACAACAAAGCCATTTTGTTAAAAGGCTTTCTTTTTCTTCTCGATCGAGAAAATGTTTTACGTGTGTTATGTACCCCCGGGTGATTTGGCTTAAAACATAGCCAGTCCAGTGTAAAAATACATGTAGTTAATTGAGCTGTTGTTCATAATAATTGATGAACGATCGCGCAGACAAGGAAAACGATGAGATTAAATAGATTTGCAAGAGTTCAACGTAAAGACGCCCCATGTGTACCGCAATAAAGACAAAATGGCCTGGATCTGCATCATCGTTATTATTGTTACGTTCTTTTAAGCAATATACGTCAAATTGCGAAAAAAAGTGCAACAGCCGCAGTTACAGTGCACGAAAAAAGTTTTTGGAATGATATTTTTATTAATTGTGTAACGAAAAACAGTCAGAAAATCATGAAAT